GATAATGGAACCTGACAATGCTCACAGAGAGGAGCAGGGCGCCTCTCCATGAGATGTCCATGCGTAAGATGAGTATGGCCAATGCGAAGGCGGGAGAGAGTAGTCTCCCAACCTCGACACTGGTGACAAGACGGCCAGTAACCTATACTCGGTTTAACAGAACAAAGTTTGTTATTGAGCAGAGCAGACCAACGTTGTTGCCAATGGGTGCGAAGGTGGGTAGCTATTACAGCAAAATAGTCTGAAAATGGAACACCTCTATATGAAATTGGTAGGTCATGTACTGCTGACCGCGCAGCAGTGTCTGCCTGTTCATTGCCCTCTACGTCAACATGACCAGGGACCCAACAAAAAACAATATCATGCATAAAAGAACATACACAATACCAATGCATTTGGTAAACAACCAAGAACCCATTTACTTCTGCCCTAAGAAAATCTTAATTAAATCTATAATTCTTGACCAATTTCTACCAAATAAATGTGAGTATACATGCATAAAATTAACATGCACAAAGTATGTATGCATTTTGCAAAATAATATTTAAAATAATTTGTTTGAATATTTGTAATGATTAACTGCAGATCGGCATTCATTAAGTAATTGTTTCCAAAGTGCAATTTCTTACGTGCAGATATTTTTCCATTTTTAAGGAAAAAAGCAAGTCAGGGGTCTACTGTATGTGAAAAATTACCAAGGGTCATACTTGCCAGTTTGTGGTAGATATTTTTTAGTGTCTAAGGGCAATGTGTGGTGTAAATATTATGCAGAAAATTCGGAGTGTGGAAATTAGGAGAAGGTGTGGAGTTAATAAAAGCATTAGTCAGAGGGCAGAAGAGGGGTTGTTGAGGTGGTTTGGTCATTTAGAGAGAATGGATCAAAGTAGAATGACATGGAAAGCATATAAATCTATAGGGGAAGGAAGGAGGGGTAGGGGTCGTCCTCGAAAGGGTTGGAAAGAGGGGGTAAAGGAGGTTTTGTGGGTGAGGGGCTTGGACTTCCAGCAAGCGTGCATGAGCGTGTTAGATAGGAGTGAATGGAGACGAATGATACTTGGGACCTGATGATCTGTTGGAGTGTGAGCAGGGTAATATTTAGTGAAGGGATTCAGGGAAACCGGTTTTCATATAGTTGGACTTGAGTCCTGGAAATGGGAAGTACAATGCCTGCACTTTAAAGGAGGGGTTTTGGGATATTGGCAGTTTGGAGGGATATGTTGTACGGGTCTCCCTCAACATTCACGTTTTCAGCTTTCGCGGGCTTCACACATTCGCGAATTCCTAACCGCCAAATTCCCAGCCACCAAATTCCCAGCCGCCAAATCATATTCAAGTTTCCCGCCACCTGCGAGTCCCTACTACCCTCTCACCGACCCCAGCAACCAGCAGCCAGCCCTCCCACCACTCAGTGTGGTGAGTGTTTTGTTTGTTCATTATTTGCTATTAAACTACAGTATAAATAATGTAAACCCATTCATGACTGCATATTGGAATGGCTATTCGGACAGGTATTAGACGGTGACATCATGTGTTTACTCTTGAACACAGCAAAGAATCAAACATTTCTGCTACTGCTAATAATAACAATAGTAATAATAATAATAATGGGGAATCAAATTCAAAATGGGAATTGACACAGTTACTTTTTGCTGATGATACTGTGCTTATGGGAGATTCTAAAGAAAAATTGCAAAGGTTAGTGGATGAGTTTGGGAATGTGTGTAAAGGTAGAAAGTTGAAAGTGAACATAGAAAAGAGTAAGGTGATGAGGGTGTCAAATGATTTAGATAAAGAAAAATTGGATATCAAATTGGGGAGGAGGAGTATGGAAGAAGTGAATGTTTTCAGATACTTGGGAGTTGACGTGTCGGCGGATGGATTTATGAAGGATGAGGTTAATCATAGAATTGATGAGGGAAAAAAGGTGAGTGGTGCGTTGAGGTATATGTGGAGTCAAAAAACGTTATCTATGGAGGCAAAGAAGGGAATGTATGAAAGTATAGTAGTACCAACACTCTTATATGGGTGTGAAGCTTGGGTGGTAAATGCAGCAGCGAGGAGACGGTTGGAGGCAGCGGAGATGTCCTGTTTAAGGGCAATGTGTGGTGTAAATATTATGCAGAAAATTCGGAGTGTGGAAATTAGGAGAAGGTGTGGAGTTAATAAAAGTATTAGTCAGAGGGCAGAAGAGGGGTTGTTGAGGTGGTTTGGTCATTTAGAGAGAATGGATCACAGTAGAATGACATGGAAAGCATATAAATCTATAGGGGAAGGAAGGCGGGGTAGGGGTCGTCCTCGAAAGGGTTGGAGAGAGGGGGTAAAGGAGGTTTTGTGGGTAAGGGGCTTGGACTTCCAGCAAGCGTGCGTGAGCGTGTTAGATAGGAGTGAATGGAGACGAATGGTACTTGGGACCTGACGATCTGTTGGAGTGTGAGCAGGGTAATATTTAGTGAAGGGATTCAGGGAAACCGGTTATTTTCATATAGTCGGACTTGAGTCCTGGAAATGGGAAGTACAATGCCTGCACTTTAAAGGAGGGGTTTGGGATATTGGCAGTTTGGAGGGATATGTTGTGTATCTTTATATGTTTATGCTTCTAGACTGTTGTATTCTGGGCACCTCTGCAAAAACAGTGATAATGTGCGAGTGTGGTGAAAGTGTTGAATGATGATGAAAGTATTTTCTTTTTGGGGATTTTCTTTCTTTTTTGGGTCACCCTGCCCCGGTGGGAGACGGCCGACTTGTTGAAAAAAAAAAAAAAAAAAAAAAACGATATAATTGAAGGAAGTTGTACAAAAATACGAGGGAGTGGTTGACACATCGTCAGTGTGGCTTTGTTTATGCTGGAGTGAGCATTAGTCTCCGTGCTCTTCCAAACATTTCACAATAATTCATTGTTTGGTGCTTGTAGATTGAGTGCGACTGGAGTGGTAGAGGCAGCTGTTGAGGCAGCTGTTGAGGCAGCGATTGAGGCAGTGGTTGAGGCAGCGATTGAGGCAGTGGTTGAGGCAGCGATTGAGGGAGTGGTTGAGGCAGCGATTGAGGCAGTGGGTGAAGCAGCTGTTGAGGCTGCTGTTGAGGCAGCAATTGAGGCAGTGGTTGAGGCAGCTGTTGAGGCAGCGATTGAGGCAGTGGGTGAGGCAGCTGTTGAGGCAGCGATTGAGGCAGTGGTTGAGGCAGCTGTTGAGGCAGCGATTGAGGCAGTGGTTGAGGCAGCGATTGAAGCAGTGGGTGAGGCTGCTGTTGAGGCAGCGATTGAGGCAGTGGGTGAGGCAGTGGGTGAGGCAGTTGTTGAGGCAGCGATTGAGGCAGTGGTTGAGGCAGCTGTTGAGGCAGCGATTGAGGCAGTGGTTGAGGCAGCAATTGAGGCAGTGGGTGAGGCTGCTGTTGAGGCAGTGGGTGAGGCTGCTGTTGAGGCAGCGATTGAGGCAGTGGTTGAGACAGCTGTTGAGGCAGCAATTGAGGCAGTGGGTGAGGCAGCTGTTGAGGCAGCGATTGAGGCAGTGGGTGAGACAGCTGTTGAGGCAGCGACTGAGGCAGTGGGTGAGGCAGCTGTTGAGGCAGCGATTGAGGCAGTGGTTGAGGCAGCGGTTGAGGCAGCGGTTGAGGCAGTGGTATTTAATAACATACATGTTATTAATAATAATAATACATGTTATTAATAATATGTACTATTATTATTTATAACATATATGTTATTAAATACCACTGCCTCAACTGCAGAATTATTGTGAAATGTTTGGAAGAGCACGGAGACTAATGCTCACTCCAACATAAACAAAGCCACACTGACGATGTGTCAACCACTCCCTCGTATTTTTGTACAATTTCCTTCTTCAATTATATTGTATTATTATTATTATTAGTACTATTGTTATTATTAGCAGTAGCAGAAATGCTTGATTCTTTGCTGTGTTCAAGAGTAAACACATGATGTCACCGTCCAATACCTGTCCGAATAGCCATTCCAATATGCAGTCATGAATGGGTTTGCATTATTTATACTGTAGTTTAATAGCAAATAATGAACAAACAAAACACTCACCACACTGAGTGGTGGGAGGGCTGGCTGCCAGTTGCGGGGGTCGGAGGGAGGGTAGTAAGGACTCGCAGTGGTTGAGGAAGTGGTGGAGGCATTGGTGGAGGCAATGGCGGAGTCTGTGGTATTTAATAACATACATGTTATTAAAGCATAACATGTATATTTTTAGTACAGTTCATGACGTTTTCGTGTATTTTATGGTTGTTCACGGTTCAACAAGTTAAGGAAGCAGTATTGTATTATATTTCCCTACAATATATTGGGGAACCAAACATTCACGGTTTTTCAACATTCGCGAGGCTCTTGATCCCCTAACCCTCACGAATGTTGAGGGAGACCTGTATATCTTTATATGTATATGCTTCTAAACTGTTGTATTCTGAGCACCTCTGCAAAAACAGTGATAATGTGTGAGTGTGGTGAAAGTGTTGAATGATGATGAAAGTATTTTCTTTTTGGGGATTTTCTTTCTTTTTTGGGTCACCCTGCCTCGGTGGGAGACGACCGACTTGTTGAAAAAAAAAAAAAAAAATTACAGGTTTTAATTTTAGCCACCAAAAGTTGTAATACTGGTTTGCTGTAGTTTATACTTATACTTTTATGGGTTAAATAAAAAATAAATTGCCATACAAGATACTGGATGGAAACTGGACTGAAACACTATAATTAGTTTATGAGCAGTTTCATTTGAATTTAACATAGTATACTGTAAATACACATGTTAGGGCTATTACTTCAGTACAATATTTTTCTTTGGTATACAGATATCAAAATCTCTTTCAGTGGAACATTTAGATTTTAATTTTTCAAATACTTTTTTAATGTTTGCTAACACCTACAAAGCATTAGCTCAAAGATCCTCAACTTTTCTGTAAAAACAAAACCCATCAGTAGCAGTAATAAAGAATTTAAATCTACCAATGTTATTTGCCTGTATGAATATACAATTAAAACAAAATTATTGCTTGCTAAATATTCCTTTATTAACATATCAAAGCTATAGTCCACATAAGTCAATAAGAATATTATTTACATTTCCAGCCCTATGACTTCCAAAGATACTGAAATGTACTTGTTAAGGCAACTCTTGAGCAGAAAATCGAAAAGCTGATTACAGTACTTATTACAGCATTTGGAATCAATTACTAAATGTCACATAACATAGACATTACTATAATGTCAGGTTTAAATATTTCCATGTAAATGATGTTAATAAAATTTAGAACTGTATACATTTTCACTTTAATTTCAAGTGATACAAAAAGAGCATAAGGAAACATGCATTATGTGGATTTCCATCTTTAAAAACAATCATTTATATTTCTTTCATCACAGACAAAGTACAACTGCAACAACTTACTGAGCTGCATTAAACCTTGTTATAATGTCCTTCCAATTTGCAACTTTCCATATAGCATTAACATAATCTGGGCGTACGTTTTTATACTGGAGGTAGTAGGCATGCTCCCACACATCAATTCCAAAGAGGGGAATAAGACCTGTAGTTGCTTCCAGTGGATCCTGAAAAATAATGGTAAACAACTTGGCCAGTCCTTGTGCTAAATCATAAATACTGTATGATATACTACAATCTTGCCAGAAATGCAAGGATTGGCATGCAACTGGCAAAATGTCACAATGCATATGATACTGACAGTGACTCTTACCTTTGTCTGCAATTACTTTTTATAAATAAATATACAATATTTAAAGTTATTATTTAGGAAACATTAGTTTTTGCAATAGTAAATAGTCAAATTCTATGCATCTTTGCTGCTTAAACTGTTTTTGGTCTCTTCTCCATCAATGAGGTCTCATTTTATTAGCATCTCAAAAATAATCCTCTCTGAAGCATCAATGGTACCACAGTCCCTGCCCCCCCTCTTTTGTATTGAAGTCAAACACTTGCCAATTAACCCTTAAACTGTCCAAGCAGATCTACGTTCACATGCGTAGTGCTCCAAAAGTAGATCTACGTTTCTTTTACATATTAAAAAAAAAAAAAAAATAGATCAAAGTTTTTTTACACGTTTTCAAGTGTAAAAAAAAAAAAAAAAAAAAAAAAAAACTACCTTTTTTACATACTTTACAATGTTGACAAAACGCAGATCTACGTTTGGACAGTTTAAGGGTTAATTTGTCCAGATAGTGCCTGAATAAACTGCCTGCTATCTAGTCTTTATAGACAGTTCCCAAATTGTCTGCTTACTACCTAATTGGAAGAATATTTATTGAGGACCTGTATGCACATCAAGTTATGCAAAAACTAGATTCAGCCAACTAGCTTGGTAGACAGACCTCGTATTATTTAGCAGCTCTTCACCACAACACCCAGATGGAAGCACTTGAATAAAAAAAGACAGGATGTTCAATTACATAACATAACAATAGTATAAGCCTTGATTATAATGTTCAAGGAGGGCTTTATAAGCTATCTAGAAAATATTTTAATAATTTCTTATATAGCTATTTGGTCAAGTAAAGAGGTCAGCCATATGACTATGACTACTGTGTGAGCAAGGTCGGGCAAGAGCTGGTGACAAAAGGAAAGGGGTGTCATTCAATGTGCATAGAACCTTGGTTCTGCCCTATAGATTTAGATGAAGGTGGCTTCTGTGTATTTTTTCCTGACCTTTTTGTCCTCATGTAACAAGAGTCTGAATTTGGCCAAGACCATAAGATGTACTATCTTGTTCGTATGTGCTGAACACTGCTTGCATTTTTTTTATAACACACTGGCCATCTCTCACTGAAGTAGGGTGAATCATAAAAGAACTTCCACCATCACTCAATCCATCACTATCTTTTCAGAGGCACACTGACATTACAGCTCAGATGCCCCTCCAAAATGCAATAACCTCATCTCCCCTTCAGAATGCAGGCACTGTACTTCCCATCTCCAGGGCTCAAGTCCAACTAACCAGTTTCCCTGAATCCCTTCATAAATGTTACCTTGCTTATACTCCAACAGCACGTCAGGTCTTAATAACCACTTGTCTCCACTCATTCCCATCAAACATGCTCACACGTGCCTACTGAATATCCAAGTCCCTCACATACAAAATCTCCTTTACCCATTCACTCCAACCTTTCCTAAGACAATCCTTACCCCTCCTTCCCTCCACTATAGATTTATTATTTTTTTATTTTTATTATCACACTGGCCGATTCCCACCAAGGCAGGGTGGCCCGAAAAAGAAAAACTTTCACCATCATTCACTCCATCACTGTCTTGCCAGAAGGGTGCTTTACACTACAGTTTTTAAACTGCAACATTAACACCCCTCCTTCAGAGTGCAGGCACTGTACTTCCCATCTCCAGGACTCAAGTCCGGCCTGCCGGTTTCCCTGAACCCCTTCATAAATGTTACTTTGCTCACACTCCAACAGCACGTCAAGTATTAAAAACCATTTGTCTCCATTCACTCCTATCAAACACGCTCATGCATACCTGCTGGAAGTCCAAGCCCCTCGCACACAAAACCTCCTTTACCCCCTCTCTCCAACCTTTCCTAGGCCGACCCCTACCCCGCCTTCCTTCCACTACAGACTGATACACTCTTGAAGTCATTCTGTTTCGCTCCATTCTCTCTACATGTCCGAACCACCTCAACAACCCTTCCTCAGCCCTCTGGACAACAGTTTTGGTAATCCCGCACCTCCTCCTAACTTCCAAACTACGAATTCTCTGCATTATATTCACACCACACATTGCCCTCAGACATGACATCTCCACTGCCTCCAGCCTTCTCCTCGCTGCAACATTCATCACCCATGCTTCACACCCATATAAGAGCGTTGGTAAAACTATACTCTCATACATTCCCCTCTTTGCCTCCAAGGACAAAGTTCTTTGTCTCCACAGACTCCTAAGTGCACCACTCACTCTTTTTCCCTCATCAATTCTATGATTCACCTCATCTTTCATAGACCCATCCGCTGACACGTCCACTCCCAAATATCTGAATACATTCACCTCCTCCATACTCTCTCCCTCCAATCTGATATTCAATCTTTCATCACCTAATCTTTTTGTTATCCTCATAACCTTACTCTTTCCTGTATTCACCCTTTAATTTTCTTCTTTTGCACACCCTACCAAATTCATCCACCAATCTCTGCAACTTCTCTTCAGAATCTCCCAAGAGCACAGTGTCATCAGCAAAGAGCAGCTGTGACAACTCCCACTTTGTGTGTGATTCTTTATCTTTTAACTCCACGCCTCTTGTCAAGACCCTCGCATTTACTTCTCTTACAACCCCATCTATAAATATATTAAACAACCACGGTGACATCACACATCCTTGTCTAAGGCCTACTTTTACTGGGAAATAATTTCCCTCTTTCCTACATACTCTAACTTGAGCCTCACTATCCTCGTAAAAACTCTTCACTGCTTTCAGTAACCTACCTCCTACACCATACACTTGCAACATCTGCCACATTGCCCCCCTATCCACCCTGTCATATGCCTTTTCCAAATCCATAAATGCCACAAAGACCTCTTTAGCCTTATCTAAATACTGTTCACTTATATGTTTCACTGTAAACACCTGGTCCACACACCCCCTACCTTTCCTAAAGCCTCCTTGTTCATCTGCTATCCTATTCTCCGTCTTACTCTTAATTCTTTCAATAATAACTCTACCATACACTTTACCAGGTATACTCAGCAGACTTATCCCCCTATAATTTTTGCACTCTCTTTTATCCCCTTTGCCTTTATACAAAGGAACTATGCATGCTCTCTGCCAATCCCTAGGTACCTTACCCTCTTCCATACATTTATTAAATAATTGCACCAACCACTCCAAAACTATATCCCCACCTGCTTTTAACATTTCTATCTTTATCCCATCAATCCCGGCTGCCTTACCCCCTTTCATTTTACCTACTGCCTCACGAACTTCCCCCACACTCACAACTGGCTCTTCCTCACTCCTACAAGATGTTATTCCTCCTTGCCCTATACACGAAATCACAGCTTCCCTATCTTCATCAACATTTAACAATTCCTCAAAATATTCCCTCCATCTTCCCAATACCTCTAACTCTCCATTTAATAACTCTCCTCTCCTATTTTTAACTGACAAATCCATTTGTTCTCTATAGATTTATACACCCTATAAATCATCCTATTTTGCTCCTCTGAATGTCCAAACCATGTCAATAGCCTTTCTTCCTAATCTCCCAGCTATGAATTTTCAATATAATATTCACATCCCACATTGCCCTCAGACATGATATTCACACCACACAGTGCCCTTAGACATGGTATTTACACCACACACTGCCCTTAGACATGACTATCTCCAGTGTCTCTAGCCTCCTTCTCGCTGCAACATTTAAAACCCATGCTTCTCACCCACATAAGTGTGTTGGGTCCATACACACTGATAACATTTTTCTTTTTGCCTCCATGGATAATGTGCTTTGTCTACACAGATGCCTCAATGTACCACCCACCACAACTGTGCTGTATACTAAATCCTTAAAGTACAATACTGAAAGTTCATGGTTACTCTTACCTGATTAGGACAAGTGGCAATTTGTAATATTTTCTTCTGCTTATTATAGCCCAGCCAACCCCAACCTGAACCTTGTATAGCTACTGTTGCTGCAGAAAGCTGACTTTTCAAACCATCAAGACTCCCAAAGTCTCGGTTGATAGCAGTCAGTAATTCCCCTGTATAAAGTTTAAACAAGATTAAAGTTTACACTAAAATTTAGTACTGATAATGTTCCTTAATTCTGAGATTTAAAGAAACTTTACAACATAAAAAGCAGGATTCTTTCATGAGCAATATTACAGTAAAAAACTACCACTAACAATAATAATAATTAATAATAATGATTAATAATAATAATAGTATTTTCCAAGAAATTACATATATGTTAGATTGGTTTCCAGTAATAATTTCTTTAAAGGAAAAGTCAATGACAATGGCCAACAAAGGTTTCAATTCACATTTATTATTATAATTATAAATAAGCACTAAACCCATAGCCAATTCACATTTAAAAAAGTGTTTCTAACAAAGTTCTGGACATCAAATACAAACCTGAACTTGAATTTGATTCAACACACAGTTTTTGTGAAAAGGAACCCCAAAGTACATGGTTTCACAAAGACATAGCCACTATGGAGAAAAGATATCAAGGGAAACCTGACTATCAGTTTGATGGCTGAATACTACTGGACACTGGTGTAGAAGAGTGATATGGAGCATGGAGAAAAAAAAAAAAGCCTGAAAATATGTTTGTACAAACATATGGAAATTTATTATTTTTTATGCAAATATAGATGTGTGTGTGTGTGGGGGGGGGGGGGTGAGGAAGTGTCATTTACGACTAGTTATTGAGGTTATGATAGTCTAGCGATTAAGTTTGTGAAGATAAATATTGTGGCAAACTGTATCAAAAGATTCTGCAGCCCAATACAAATTCTCATATATTACTAGTTTATTTCAAATCTTGCATGAACTCTTGTCAAATATTTTTATGATCACATTAGTACTTTTTTGGATTTGAATCCAACTTGGCAAGGAATAACAAATTATGTTTGGTTAAGTACAAGAACAGTTATACAGAATAGTATACAGGCAGGCCCCATTTTACAGTGCTTCTCTTTACAGTGTTTTGCTAATACAGTGGTTTTCAATTATACCCATTCAGGCTACTTACAATAAATATATTCATCACTCTCTATAAGCTAAGTATGAAAATACTTTAAGGTAAGTAATGTGTGTACTGTACTTGCATTTTTAGGCCTAGTTAGATTGCTCAGTGTAAATTATATTCATGTAAAAGTATACCATTATGAAGTCCCAACAAAGAAATTAAACTATGCTCCAAAGACTGGTTAAGGTACAGCTACTCAAGAAAATTAGCTACCAGGAGAAAAACATGGAAAATTCATATAAATTATGCCTTGTACAAAAAATCCATACTTGTGCATGCGGGAAAAACATTCCCATACCTTGTGGTTCTCCACCATCTGGTGACAAGTTCTTCCAAAAGATTGAGTGATTTATGTGGCCACCACCATTAAACTTCAGTGCTGGAGCAAGTGCTATAACTGTACTGATGTCACCTGCAAAAAAAAAAAAAAAGGTAAATAAAAGTCTTATTTACAAAATATGAATAGTTACAACATTAGGAATTACACATATTTATTGCAAGATAAAATAAGATATAAGATTTTGTTTGGATTTTTAAACCTGGAGGGTTAGCCACCCATGATAACGCAAGAAAGGCAGTGCATCGTCAAGAGAGTGTCTCAGTTCCATGGGGGTCCTCAATCTTGTCTCCAAGAATGCACCCCACACCAGTCGACTAACACCCAGGTACCTACCTGCTTTGCTAGGTGAATAGGACAAGAGGTGTAAGGAAACATGCCCAATGTTTCCACCCTTGCCGGGAATTGAACCATAGATACTCAGCATGTGAAGTGAGAGCTTTGCCTACCAGGCCTGTGGCCTGGTAGGCTGGTGGCCTACTCATATTCATTATGTAAGGCATAATGAGTATGGAAATGATATCTATTAACCCTTTCAGGGTCAAGAGGCCGTCTCCTAAACTTGTTCTCAGGGTGGAAAATTTTTCGGAAAAAAAAAAAAAAAAATTCTTATGAAATGATAGAGAATCTTTTCCCGATCATAATGCCACCAAAAGTATGAAATTTGATGGAAAGCTTACGGAATTATGCTCTCGCGAAGTTAGCGGTCTCAACGATGTTTGCGCATTGGCAATTTTGCCCACTTTGAGCCCCATTTTCAGCCAATGCCAATGTACCAGTCAACAAAAATCATAACTATTTCGCTGGACCTCCATTTGTTCTATTGAATGAGTACAAGAAACCACCCATTTACCGATTTCAACTGTATTCAATAAAGTGGTCAGAAATTGGCAATTTTGCCAATTTCTGACCACTTTATTGAATACAGTTGAAATTGGTAAATGGGTGGTTTCTTGTACTCATTCAATAGAACAAATGGCAATTTTGCCAATTTCACACAAATTTCAAAAGATGCCAATTTCCAAACAGGGTCCAGAATAAACCAGACAGACATTCCTGGCACTAAAATAACATTCTCTGTTCATTAGTCACATCCTCAGACCCCTCTTACATTTCTTTTGCTTTCCACTTTGAATTTTTATTCTCACAAAAAATAGAAGATTTACTGTTATGCAGACTACTGCATTAGTGTAGAAATGGTATAAATAATATCAGCACACTTGTGAAAGAATATTTGACTCACCAGTTGACGTGTATTGGACGCGTGGCATGATTTGCTTACTTTTGAACATTGGCAAAAATCAAACATTTCTGCTAACTTAAGCTCAATTTCAAGGTACTTTTCAAAATCATCTCAATTTCTGTAATATGTCTTCCATTCTATAAAATGAGACCAGGAAAACGAGAATACAACTATAAATACCACACAAAAATACACTGCAAAGTCGCTGTTTTAAACCAAAAAGACGGTGGAAGTTTTTTTTCTCATGATGCACTGTGTGCTGCAGGATTTTTTTTATACTGTGTACACTGACCACACAGACCCATTCTTTCATATGTATGGCTACCAGCTTTTTCTCGCTAGATTTAAGGCGCTAGAATTTACGCGTACTAGTACGGCACCAACCCTGGCGTACAAGCCGTACTAGTATGACACCGACCCTGAAAAGGTTAACTGGAATAGTAATTTTAAGACAATTTACCATTCAAAATTTCTGTATTTAAGTTAACCATTTTGACCGAGTCCCACATAGATCAACATTACTGATGCCAGTGTCACTCACAGAGTGCCATGATGTAAGCAGATTTCCCTTTTTATATGCTGTGAATGCTAAAGTTTGGCTTAAATGTGAGATAATGGGTCTGCAGCAAGTGTGCACAGTAAAAAAAAAAAAATTATGCTCCACACAGCACTAGATGGGAAAAGCAAACCTCTGACCTTGTGTTTGTTTTAAAATATCAACTTTGAGGTATTTTCTAAGATGATTTTAATAATTTTAGTGGTTGTTTCTTGGTATTATTAATAGTGTATTGTACATACTGTATATTAATAATTAATCATGGAAAAGGGAGAAGTGAACACATATTAATGAAATAATCACATTCTGCTTTACCCCACTCAACACACCCATGCTTACTTGATTTAAAAACAGATTTTAATGAAATAATGACCTTATTCTACCTCACCTTGCTCAATGTCACCTACTCTTACTCATGCACGAGTGACACCTGCCTTGTGCTTGGCAAGACAAATGTTAATGAGTAAACCATGAACAAGTTTTTACCTAGTTTTTAAATGTTTTCGCTGTTCCTACTTTAAAATAAAACTGGAGTAGGTAGAACTGGCTCTGGCAATTTCAGAGTTTGACTACAATGTAATTGAAAAAAAAAAACAAAAAACTGGTATGTTAATATTAACAAATATGGGAATAAGGCACATACAGGAGTGTAAAAACCACTCGTGGCACAACCACTTTTATAATGTAGTTTTAGTGTGTGCATATGGGTCTTATTCCCTGTATGGTAATTGCAAGTTATTTAATAAGTGGAACAAATACAGTGGAACCTCTACTTGTGAGTTTAATCCGTTCCATGACCTTGCTCGCAACTGGATTTGCTCGTTTGCCGAATCAATTTTCCTCATTTAAATTAATTGAAATGCAATTAATCCGTTCCAGTGGAATTCTGTACTTCAATAATTTCGCTAATATCAACTCTACGGCTTATTTATCTATCTCACTTCATCTAATATAACATAATAAACAATATAAATAACATAGAAACCTGATATATACTCTACAATGAATAAAATATGTCGTTCATGTAGTAGTATGGGCGGTGCCAGCGGTGGACGAAAGTTTGTCTGGAGACCAGGCAAAATACTTCATGAATAATTTTGCTAATATCATCTATACGGCTTATTTATATATCACAGTTCATCTAATATGACATAACAAACAATTTAAATAACATAGAAACATGATATATACTCCAAAATGAATAAAATATGTCATTATGTAACAGGTGGAGGCGGCCACAACCGCTCCCTCTTTGTTGTGGTAAACACTGCCATCTAGTGACGGCCTTTTGAAGCCGTCTATTATTATATGTAGTACATTATTATTATATATGTATTATTATACATTTTATTTTATTATTATTATTGCATTATATTATTATACTTTTACTATTTATAGGTAGTAGGTTGGTAGACAGCAACCACCCAGGGAGGTACTACCGTCCTGCCAAGTGAATGTAAAACAAAAGCCTGTAATTGTTTTACATGATGGTAGGATTGCTGGTGTTTTTTTGTCTGTCTCATAAATATGCAAGATTACAGGTATGTCTTGCTACTTCTACTTACACTTAGGTCACACTACACATACATGTACACATTTATTTATACACACTCATCTGAGTTTTCTTTGATTTTATCTTAATAGTTCTTGGTCTTATTACTTTTCCTTTTATATCCATGGGGAAGTGGGATAAGAAGCTTTCCTCCGTAAGCCATGCGTGTTGTAAAAGTCAACTAAAATGTCGGGAACAATGGGATAGTAACCCCTTTTCCTGTAAAGATTACTAAAAAGAATAAGAAGAAAATTGTCAAAGTGGGAAGTCTGAATGTGTATGGATGTTGTGCAAATGATAAGAAAGAGATGATTGTGGATGTTATGAATGAGAAGAAGCTGGATGTCCTGGCTTTAACCCCTTCAGGGTCCAAGGCCCAAATCTGAAGTGGTGCCCCAGTGTCCAAGAATTTAAAAAAAAAAAAAAAAGTTGTTATTTTTTCTTATGAAATGGTAGAGAATCTTTTTGTGAAGGTAATAAAACAAGAAGTACAAAATTTGATGGAAAACTGACGAAATTATGCTCTCGCGAATTTTGATGTGTAAGCGATATTTACGAATCGGCGATTTTGCCGACTTTGACTCCCATTTTAGGCCAATTACATTACTCCAGTCAACCAAATTCTTAGCTATTTCACTAGTATTACTTCTATTCTATCGATTGAGCACAAAAAATCGCCAAGTCAACTGTTTCAACTACAAATTAAAGTGATCGGAAATTGTTAATTTGGCCAATTTAACACAAAGTTCAAAATATTCCAATTTCAAAATAGGGTCCAGAATAAACAATGTAGGTATTCCTGGAACTAAACTAACACTTCCTCTGTTCATTAGTTATGTTTTGAGGCTTTACAAATAAATTCCATTTTGATTTTTTATTCACAATGAAATTTTATTCACACCAAAAAATAGAAGATTTACTGTTATGCAATACTGTAATAATTGTATAAATATCATCACCATATTTGTGAATGCATATCAGACCCACCAGCTGGCGTGTATTAGACGTGTGAGGTCGTTTGTTTACTCTGGAATAACTGCAAAAACATAACATTTCTACTACTTTGAGCTTAGTTTCAAGCCATTTCCAGTGCTAAAACCAATCAAAATCATCTCTATTTCTGTAATATGTCTTCCATTCTATCAAATGAGACCAAGAAATCGCAAATACAACTATAAAAAACATACGAAAAAACACTGCAAAGTCGCTGTTTTAATCGAAAATTCATGATTTCAGTTTTTTTCTCTCATTATACACAGTGTGCTGCAGGATCTGTTTTATGTGGTGCACACATACCACATACTGTATATGTATTTTCTCATATCTAGGCCTAAATGTACCACTCACAGTTTATCAGAGTGAGCCGAGCTCATGACGTAGATCTACGGTTTGGACCCTGAACACAAAGCCGTAAATCTACGGGACGGACCCTGAAAGAGTTAAGTGAAACAAAGCTGAAGGGGGTGGGAGAGTTTCAGTGGAGAGGAATAAATGGGATTAGGTCAGGAGTTTCAAACAGAGTTAGAGCTAAAGGAGTAGCAATAATGTTGAAAGATAAGATATGGCAGGAAAAGAGGGACTATAAATGTATTAATTCAAGGATTATGTGGAGTAAAATAAAGGTTGGATTTGAAAAGTGGGTTATAGTAAGTGTATATGCACCTGGAGAAGAGAGAAGTGTAGAGGAGAGAGAGAGAGATTTTGGGAAATGTTGAGTGAATGTGTGGGGAGTTTTGAACCAAGTGTGAGAGTACTTGTGGTTGGGGATTTCAATGCTGAAGTGGGTAAAAATGTTGTGGAGAGAGTACATGTAGTAGGTAAATTTGGGGTGCCAGGGGTAAATGTAAATGAGGAGCCTTTAATTGAGCTGTGTGTAGAAAGAAATTTGGTAATAATACACATTTTATGAAAAAGAGGATAAATAAATATACAAGGTATGACGTAGCACGTAATGAAAGTAGTTTGTTAGATTATGTATTGGTGGATAAAAGGTTAATGGGTAGGCTCCAGGATGTACATGTTTACAGAGGGGCAACTGATATATCGGATCATTATTTAGTTGTAACTACAGTTAGAATAAGAGGTAGTTGGGACAAGAGGAAGGTGGCAACAACAAGTAGGAGGGAAGTGAAAGTGAATAAACTAAGGGAGGAGGAAGTTCGGGTGAGATATAAGCGACTATTGGCAGAAAGGTGGGCTAGTGCAAAGATGAGTAGTGGGGGGGGGGGGGGTTGAAGAGGATTGGAATAGTTTTAAAAATGTAGTATTAGAATGTGGGGCAGAAGTTTGTGGTTATAGGAGGGTGGGGGCAGGAGGAAAGAGGAGTGATTGGTGGAATGATGAAGTAAAGGGTGTGATAAAAGAGAAAAAGGTAGCTTATGAGAGGTTTTTACAAAGCAGAAGTGTTACAAGAAGAGCAGAGTATATGGAGAGTAAAAGAAAGGTGAAGAGAGTGGTGAGAGAGTGCAAAAGGAGAGCAGATGATAGAGTGGGAGAGGCACTGTCAAGAAATTTTAATGAAAATAAGAAAAATTTTTGGAGTTAAACAAGTTACGAAAGCCTAGGGAACGCATGGATTTGTCAGTTAAAAAACAGAGTAGGGGAGTTAGTAGATGGGGAAAGGGAGGTATTAGGTAGATGGCGAGAATATTTTGAGGAACTTTTAAATGTTGAGGAAGAAAGGGAGGCGGTAATTTCATGCACTGGCAAGGGAGGTATACCATCTTTTAAGAGTGAAGAAGAGCAGAATGTAAGTGTGGGGGAGGTATGTGAGGCATTACGTAGAATGAAAGGGGGTAAAGCAGCTGGAACTGATGGGATCATGACAGAAATGTTAAAAGCAGGGGGGGTGGGAATATAGTGTTGGAGTGGTTGGTACTTTTGTTTAATAAATGTATGAAAGAGGGGAAGGTACCTAGAGATTGGCAGAGAGCATGTATAGTCCCTTTATATAAAGGGAAGGGGGACAAGAGAGATTGTAAAAATTATAGAGGAATAAGTTTATTGAGTATACCAGGAAAAGCGTACGGTAGGGTTATTATTGAAAGAATGAGAGGTAAGACAGAATGTAGGATTGCGGATGAGCAAGGAGGTTTCAGAGTGGGTAGGGGATGTGTAGATCAAGTGTTCACACTGAAGCATATATGTGAACAGTATTTAGATAAAGGTAGGGAAGTTTTTATTGCATTTATGGATTTAGAAAAGGCATATGACAGAGATGATAGGGGAGCAATGTGGCAGATGTTGCAAGTATATGGAATAGGTGGTAAGTTACTAAATGCTGTAAAGAGTTTTTATGAGGATAGTGAGGCTCAGGTTAGGGTGTGTAGAAGAGAGGAAGACTACTTCCCGGTAAAAGTAGGTCTTAGACAGGGATGTGTAATGTCACCATGTTTGTTTAATACACATGTATTTATGGATGGGGTTGTAAAGGTAGAAAGTTGAAAGTGAACATAGAAAAGAGTAAGGTGATGAGGGTATCAAATGATTTAGATAAAGAAAAATTGGATATCAAATTGGGGAGGAGGAGTAGGAAGAAGTGAATGTTTTCAGATACTTGGGAGTTGATGTGTAGGCGGATGGATTTATGAAGGATGAGGTTAATCATAGAACTGATGAAGGAAAAAAAGGTGAGTGGTGCGTTGAGGTATATGTGGAGTCAAAAAACGTTATCTATGGAGGCAAAGAAGGGAATGTATGAAAGTACAGTAGTACCAACACTCTTATATGGGTGTGAAGCTTGGGTTGTGAATGCAGCAGCGAGGAGGTGGTTGGAGGCAGTGGAGATGTCCTGTCTAAGGGCAATGTGTGGTGTAAATATTATGCAGAAAATTCGGAGTGTGGAAATTAGGAGAAGGTGTGGAGTTAATAAAAGTATTAGTCAGAGGGCTGAAGAGGGGTTGTTGAGGTGGTTTGGTCATTTAGAGAGAATGAATCAAAGTAGAATGACATGGAGAGCATTTAAATCTGTAGGAGAAGGAAGGTGGGGTAGGGGTCGTCCTCGAAAAGGTTGGAAGGAAGGGGTAAGGGAGGTTTTGTGGGCGAGGGGCTTGGACTTCCAGCAGGCTTGCATGAGCGTGTTCGATAGGAGTGAATGGAGACGAATGGTATTTGGGACCTGATGATCTGTTGGAGTGTGAGCAGGGTAATATTTAGTGAAGGGATTCAGGGAAACCGGTTATTTTTATATAGCCGGAGTTGAGTCCTGGAAATGGGAAGTACAATGCCTGCACTCTAAAGGAGGGGTTTTGGGATATTAGCAGTTTGGAGGGATATGTTGTGTATCTTTATACGTATATGCTTCTAAACTGTTGTGTTCTGAGCACCTCTGCAAAAACAGTGATTATGTATGAGTGAGGTGAAAGTGTTGAATGATGATGAAAGTATTTTCTTTTTGGGGATTTTCTTTCTTTTTGGGTCACCCTGCCTCGGTGGGAGACGGCAGACTTGTTGGTAGAAAAAAAAATTACTATTATACATATTATTATTGTACATTATTATTATTATTATATAAATAATTTGTAATTTTTATTCACACAAAAAATATAAGATTTGCTGTTATTCCTTATTGCAATAATTGTATAAATAATGTCAACCCATTTACGACTGCATATTGTTTACTCTGAAACAGCCAAGCAATGGACCATTTCTCCTAGGTTGAGCTATATTTCAAGGTACTTTTTGTCGTGAAAGCAATCAAAATCATATCTATTTCTGTAATATATCTTCCATTCTATCAAATGAGACCAAAAAAAAAAAAAACGAGAATACAACCCTAAAAACCATTTGAAATTACTGCTAAGGGGTGGCTAATTGCTGAGAAGTGAACTCCATTATTTATGCTTAGATTTCTTTCATTTTTGGTGTACGTTAAGAAGCATCTTTCCATCATACATTGCCCAAGTTTCAATATGATAGTCCAACAAACAAATGAGATACAATTCCCGATATCAAGAGCAAGAGCCCCTCACCAGTGTCAAAGAACCTGCCTTGAGGTCTGCTAGCTTGTGGAAATTTTGCTCGCGTATGGAAGCAAAAAATCAACCCATCGACTGCTCGTATTTGGAAAAACTCGCACGTGGACACGCTCGCAAGTAGAGCTTCCACTGTACTGATATACCATTATAAGTATATTCACAAATAAATACATTAAGCATACATACTTTTGGCTTTAGCTTCTGCTAATTTCTCCTCTGCTACATTAAGATTGTTGATATAGGTTTGGTGGTGTTTGGAGTGATGCAGTTGCATAATTTCAGCACTGATGACTGGTTCTAGGGCGCTGTAGTCATAGGGCAAATCTGGTAGTGTATGCTTCTGGCAACCTCTTATTCTAGCACCAACCAATCTTGAATGAAAATACTATTTTAAAATGTATTCATCAGATTGGCAACATTTACCCCAAAAAAGTCAAGACAAAGTGACTTATTTTCATTGGGATCCTTGTAATATCTTATTAGCAGCCTAGCAAGTAAGTTTATTTAGGTACAGGTACACAAATACAGTTACACAAGTTATCATACATAGTAACATGTGTAGATTACCTAGGATAACTCCCAAAAAAAGTCAAAAGTGACTTGTTTCTACTGGGATATAGTAGGAATCAGTCATTATTATAACCTTAAAAATTAAAACAGCCAAGTAACTCAAATGTGTGAAAATCAGTTATAATAAAATGAGGTGAAACAGGAATAAAGTAAACTGAGTAATTTGCATGAACACTAGGTAAAGAAAAACTAGCTTAATATAATAGGTACACAAGTGTTAACCATACAAGAAATCACTTTCCCTCCTGTTCTGCAGCTTTATTCATTAGGAACCTTTTAGCTCTCTTCCTGAACTAATTCATGCTAAGACTGGCCTTGACATGTTCTGGCAGTCAGTTCCACTCCTTCACTGCTGTATAATGAAAGGTGTTTGAGGCCTGACCACTTACTGTAGGTACTGTAAAACTGTGTTCACTTTCCTTAGTACCATACTGGATTTGGCTCCTAATTTTGACAAAATTCAGAGCAAGATATTCTGGACACTAAGTAATTTTAAACAAAATTTAACTTCAACTGCTTTACTCTGTCTTCAACATATCTGGTTGCTGAGTGAGATTAAGACACATGTGCAACATCTGGGTATCTTTATTGTAGACGTTTCGCCATCCAGTGGCTTTATCAATACAAATTCTAGGACATTCTGGTTGCTGTAATTCATCCTGGCCTACGTGCTATCTTCGACACAGGCCCAGGATGAATGTATTTTGTTGTGTGATTTGTAGCCTGTCTCATTTTTTTTTGATAGAGCAGAGTACCATGAAGAGCAAGATTAATTATCAATATTACATTCATGGGGACAGCACTAAACCCATAGGGGTCACTGGGAAATGGAAGACATACAGGCATGATACAAGGAATTGAAGCACTGGTCCAATTCCTTAAATCAAGAGCCCCTCACCAACATCAAGGAACCTTTATGGGGAGAACAATAATAATCTAAATACGGTGTATGAGCTAGACATAGGGTTCTGTCAGCCTCAGCAGGTAGACACTGTGCCTGTCTATAGAGGCAAATTTTTTTTTTTTTTTTTTTTTTAGGAAATGTCACCATAAGGCATGGTCTGACCGGGCCGGGGGGGGGGGCGTTGACCCCCGGAACTCTCTCCAGGTATCTCCAGTGTGTCATTGGGACTATGACTATTATAAAAGGTAAATGTTGAGCAAATAGCCAGCACGTAGGAGACAAAATGCAAAATAACCACGGAAGAGAGTTGAAAGAACTCCCTAAGCCTTTTGCGTTGCAATTAACATATCAAGAGCTTGCAATGTTGCAGAAATAAGAGCACTGCATAAGTTGGAGACAAACTTATGACGTCATTTGTCCAACTAGGCCCAAGTCAGACCGAAATGTCATAATTTTAAGTCTCCTACATGCAGGTTATCTGTACAATTTTCCCAGTCACGATTACTAAGTTTAAGTACAGGTAAACAGTTACACAAGTTACCATACACAGCAACACATATGTAAATTACCTACGATAATCCCAAAAAGTCAAGGTAAATTATTTCCACTGGAGGTCCTTATATCTTTATTCTTAAAAGGTAAATAATTGATCTTATCCACTGGGGTCCCATCACTGCTACATAACACCATTACATTAAAAGCTTGTCTTAGCGTGGAAATTATAAACCAACAAAGTAAAATATACCGCGGAGCGAGCGAAAGCTTGCGTAGAATGATCATGACTGAGTGAGGCAGCAGGAGAGGCAGCAGGAGAGGCAGCAGGAGAGGCAGCAGGAGAGGCAGCAGACGATGGAGGAGTGACCAACTTGTTCCAATATTCCTCCTCCTACATCACTACCTGCCAGGATTTCTTCAGTCATTTGCACTTATTTACCATATTTTAAGACCTTTATAATAACTCCGCTTTGGAGTTGTTGTTATATACTACAAAGAAATAATGTATTATGAGATCTGTTTTATATTAACAGCGTATATATTCAATTTTATTTGAATTTTCAAAGACTTGGATGTTCCAGAGTTAAAATTAGTGAAGTTTGGGTTTGTGAAAATATGTGGTTAAGGAGTCATATATAATTATTTTATAAGTTTCTGATACAGTATAACTATAGACTTTTTTAATTTTGAGATAAATTAGGAACTTATGGACCTCAGTGAGTGGTGGGGTAGAGTGTAGTGTTGATAAATGTCATAAATAAGTGGAAAATGAAATATTGAGTCCGGCAGTGAGGGAACATGGCGTCGCTATGTACACAGATATTGATATAACTGACTATAACGTTCCACTGTAAGCTCAGGTAAGCCACCAGCGACCTTCCCCATTACTGGTAACATACAGCTATCCTACATAATGGGAGGAGAGGGCAAGGGGTGTAGCATTCAGGGAAGGGGAGTGTTAAGAGTTAAGGGAGGTTAGTAAGTGCAGCTGGTGGTGGTCCTCGCCTCGCCTCCTAACTCTCTAAATGTTATCTTTATCACTTTGATATTAACTGCATAACCAGATAGTTTTGCATTGGTCTGTCTGGTGGTCACGGCTGGTCTCTGGCTAGTGAGAAGGGTTACTGTTAGAGGAACATGATAGTGTATTTCAGTAGGCCTGGCCCAAACTAGGTAGGCCTAACTCGTACCCAACATAAGATTTGTTCAGATTTTTAACCCACAGGGTTAGCCACCAAGGATAACCCAAGAAAGTCATTGCATTGTTGATGACTGCCCGAAATGCACATGCATGCTAGTGGCTTTCTTTTGATAGTACTTAATGTTTTACCACATGTAAACTACATTATTTTTCACACTACATAAGGAAATAAAACGTTTGTCTTGTTTGTTTATTGGGGTTCTTCAGTTTTGTCCCCCAGGATGTGACCTGTACTCCCTAGAATGCAGGAGGGAGAGAGACATGATTATATACACCTAGAAGATCCTAGAGGGAATAGTATCAAACTTGCACACGAAAATCACCTCCTATGAAAGCAATACTCGGCAGACAGTGCAACATCCCTCCAATGAAAAGCAGGGGTGCCACTAGCACGATAAGAGACAACTCAATAAGTGTCAGGGGCCAAGACTGTTCAACTGCCTCCCAGGATACATCAGAGGGATTACCAATAGACCCCTGGCTGTCTTCAAGCAGGCACTGGACAGGCACCTAAAGTCAGTACCTGACCAGCCGGGCTGTGGTTCATACATTGGATTGCGTGCGGCCAGCAGTAACAGCCTGGTTGATCAGGCCCTGATCCACCATGAGGCCTGGTCACAGACTGGGCCACAGGAGCGTTGACCCCCAGAACTCTCTCCAGGTATACACCAGTGAACTAACACCCAGGTACCTACTTACTAGTAGGTGAACAAGGACAACAGGTGTAACGAAACATGCCCAATATTTCCACCCACCCATGGATTGAACCACAGGAACTCATAAGAACATAAGAAAGGAGCACTTCAGCAGGCCTACCAGCCCATGCTAGGCAGGTCCAGATCACCTATTGGCCTAAGGAAACTTCTGCGCCAGCCTTTGTCGGGTGTGGATGTCTCGCTGTCACCTGAGTATGTGACAAATTTTCCCCACTCTCTCTGGGACGTTTGTCCTCGTCAACATTGCTCACTGGGCACATTACAGGAGGGTTTCCATCATCGGCTAACTTTTAGCCAGCTACATTTTTTCCATTCTTCAGATAATTCTTTTATAGTTTTGGTGAGAAGCCAGTTACTGAGATTTGGGGTTGTGGGCATACTGCTCTGCTGGGGCTTGATAAGGAGGTCAACCTGATCTAATTGGGAACTTCTAGTTCCTGTAATAAATAACAGTTTCTATTTACAAAGGAACTCTTGTTCCTTTTTCTTTCATTGCCCAGCTTTGGGCAACAACTCTTCCTGTACATCAGGAAGTCGGGCTCGACTTTTAAAACTACACAATGTTTCAGCTTCAGTGATGCTACTTTGGAGTTTGTTCCACACATCCACAACTCTGTTACCAATCCAGTGCTTTTCTATAGGCTAGAGCATTGCCTACAGAGATTTGATACTGGTGAAGGGCCAAGGATTTAAGGGATAAGAGCTACTCTCCCCTTCCTTACTTCAAATCTGATTACCTTCCATGTCTTGTGTTCCATATTACCTGTACATGTTTAGTGCTTCCCCTTAAGTATAATCCCCTCCTCAGATCAGATCTGATTGCCTCCCATAGTATAGCAACTTTCCAGGACTACTTTTTAAAACAGTTTTTGTCAGAACTATCTAAAAGGAAATTATTTTTTTCTGGGAAACTAGGATTCTCTGCTAAATAATCTTTAGGTCAAGAGCTTGGAGAAAGCAGTCACAAATTACTTGCATTCAGTATCTCATGGCTATGGTTTACAACACTGTATGACCATTTTGGATTTAGCATTTGCCTTGATTATAATAATAATACTGTAATAACAATAATAATATAGGTGCACATCCATTTATCCGAAACCCATGGGGCCTGTATTGTTTCGAATTTCAGACTTTTTTGAATTTCAGAATGATTCTCAATGCCATGTGGCGGCATGACCCAGCATGGAGATGACTGATGCTCCACACTGTGAAAAAACTTTACTTTTCGGAGCTTTTCAGATTTCAGAATTTCGGATAAAGGGATGTGGACCTGTAATAATAATATAGTTTATGACCACTACTATTCAGAACTCGGGCATTAGTTTACATTTCACAGTATGTAAAGCTGTTCATGTATATTACAAAATAAATATTTTTTATGCAAATTGTTTTGGGAGATGCAAAATAGTACCAGTACATTCATCATGGTTGTGCAGTATATCCACTAATCACTGCTTAGTACTGAGTCATGTTGCACACCTGGCTAAATGTAAACAGACACAGGTCATTATGTGCTTTATTCCTGGGATAATCCTGTCAACATTACCACATCATATTCATAACAGGAAATATACTTATCTCTGTTGGAATTTGCTATTTATCAGCAGCAGTAATGCCTTAGAAGGGTTTCGAGAGTTTCCTACTCTTGCAGGCCATCCCCAAACCAGGCTTGCCTGGTGCTTGCCTGATCAACTGGTCATAATAACATAATAATGCTAATGAAATTTTGAACAGCAACTCATTGGCAGTGGGTGGCTGGGTCACAGTGTCACCACTAATAACACTAACCCCCACACACCTGGACCAGTCCACATCTTTTCATCACTTCAACTTGACCTGACCTAGGATAATAATGGTGGAGGTGATAAAAATTAAGTAAATCTCCCTATGAAAACATTGCCCTCTCATAAGTGCCCTGTATACAGGCGGGCCCCGCTTTTACAGTACTACTTGGCTTTACCGAGTTTTGCTCTACACTGTTTCATTAATGCAGCAGTTTTCAGTTATACTCATTCTTCATTAACCCTGACTTCCTATAATAAATATATTCACCACTCGTTATAAGCTTTGGATGAAAATATGTATTTTAAAGTAAGTAATGCGTGTACTGTATATGCATTTTTAAGGCATCTCTCTATTGCTCACTTAATATCCTTAATATATATACTATATGATAATGTAAAACAGCGACTTTGCATTGTTTTTCATATGTTTTTTATAGTTGTATTTACGATTTCTTGGTCTCATTTGATAGAATGGAAGATATATTACAGAAATAGAGATGATTTTAATTGGTTTTAGTACTGGAAATGGCTTGAAACTGAGCTCAAAGTAGCGGAAATGTTAAATTTTTGCCGATGTTCAAGAGTAAACAAATGACCTCACACGTCTAATACACGCCTGCTGGTGGGTCTAATATACGTTCACAAATGTGGTGATATTATTTATACAATTACTACAATATTGCATAAGAGTAAATCTTCTATTTTTTTGGTTTGAATAAAAATTCATTATGTGAATAAAAAATCAAAATGTAATTCATTAGTAAAGCCTGAAAACATAACTAATGCACAGAAGAAATGTTAGTTTAGTGCGAGGAATGCCTGCATTGTTTATTCTGGACCCTATTTTGAAATTGGAGTATTTTGAACTTTGCATTAAATTGGCCAAATTATTCTTGTACGTACTCAGTAGATAGAATAGAAGTAATACTAGTGAAATAGCTAAGAATTTGGTCGACTGGAATAATGTAATTGGCCTAAAATGGGAGTCAAAGTCGGCAAAATTGCCGATGTGTAAATATCGCTGACACAATAAAATTCGCAAGAGCATAATTTCGTCAGTTTTCCATCAAATTTCGTACTTTTTATTTTATTACCTTCAGAAAAAGATTCTCTACCATTTCATAAGAAAAAATAACAAAATTATTTTTTGGAAATTCTTGGACACTGGTGCACACTGAAATTTGGCCTCTGGTCCCTGAAAGGGTTAATAATAATAATAATAAAAGTAATAATAATAATAATAATAATAATAATAATAATAATAATAATAATAATAATAATAATAATAATAATAATAATAATAATACATGCATACATGCATACATACATGCATGCATACATACATACATACATACATACATACATACATACATACATACATACATACATACATACATACATACATACATACATACATACTACTGTATAGAAAGCCGCTTGTTATGCAGAGCATTTCAGGCAAATTAGGTCAGTTTTGTCCCAAGATGTGACCCACACCAGTCGACTAACACCTAGGTACCCATTTTATACTGATTGGTAAACATGGACAAGAGGTGTCTTAAGGAAACATGTCTTAATGTTTTCCAGCCATACCGGGGATTCAATCTCCGGACCTCAGTGTGTGAGCTGAATGTGCTATCGATCGAAGTACCGGACACCTTGGACAACAGTGGATTTCAAATGATTTTCCACTGTGGATCCCCAAGTACAGATGCTATAAGTAAGGTATGGATAGCTGTGTGGGCCAGTGGGCCACCAGCAGCAACAATCTAGTTGACCAAGCAAGCACCAGGTGAGCCTGACGCAAGGCCTGGCTCCAGGAGTAGAAAAAACTCGAAACTCATCAGAGGTATATCTCATCAATACAGGACAGTCAATACAAATACAAACCCAACTCTGAAATTCTTCCTGGATAACTGCAGCAGAACAAAATAGACATAATATGTATATGCTACCAATACTTCAAATTCAAATTAAAACATTATTTCTTTGCATAGTATACAGTAAAATAATCTTTATTTACTACAAGTACATATACATGGTATACAGGCCTAGCTGATTTATTAAACAGAGTTGCAATAATGGGGAACAGCACATGTGCTGCTTTTTTGTACGCGAGTGGTGGCAAGTTATTTATGAAGAGTGAGACTTTGGTA